GACTGTGTGTCTGTGTCTGTGTGTCTGTGTGTCTGTGGTCTGTGTGTCTGTGACTGTGTGTCTCTGTGACTGTGACTGTGTCTGTCTGTGGACTGTGTGTCTGTGGACTGTGTGTCTGTGACTGTGTGTCCTGTGACTGTGTGTCTGTGTCTGTGTGTGTCTGTGGACTGTGTGTCTGTGACTGTGTGTCTGTGACTGTGTGTCTGTGGTCTGTGACTGTGTGTCTCGTGTCCTGTGTCTGTGTGTCTGTGTACTGTGTGTCTGTGGTCTGTGTGTCTGTGTCTGTGTTCTGTCAAACTGTGTGTCTGTGACTGTGTGTCTGTGACTGTGTGTCTGTGGACTGTGTGTCTGTGACTGGTGTGTCTGTGGACTGTGTTGACTGTGTCTGTGACTGTGTGTCTGTGACTGTGTTGTCTGTGTCTGTGTGTCTGTGACTGTGTGTCTGTGACTGTGTGTCTGTGTGTCTGTGACTGTGTGTCTGTGACTGTGTGTCTGTGACTGTGTGTCTGTGGACTGTGTGGTCTGTGACTGTGTGTCTGTGACTGTGTGTCTGTGACTGTGTGTGTGTCTGTGACTGTGTGTCTGTGACTGTGTGTCTGTGACTGGGTGTGTCTGTGACTGTGTGTGTGATGTGTCTGTGACTGGTGTCTGTGACTGTGTGTCTGTGACTGTGACTGTCTGTGACTGTGTGTCTGTGACTGTGTGTCTGTGACTGGTGTCTGTGTGATTGGTGTCTGTGACTGTGTGTCTGTGACTGTGTGTCTGTGACTGGTGTCTGTGACTGGTGTCTGTGACTGTGTGTCTGGTGTCTGTGTGTCTGTGTGACTGGTGTCTGTGACTGTGTGTCTGTGACTAGTGTCTGTGACTGTGTGTCTGTGACTGGTGTCTGTGACTGGTGTGTCTGTGACTGTGTGTCTGTGACTGTGTGTCTGTGACTGGTGTCTGTGACTGGTGTCTGTGACTGTGTGTCTGTGACTGGTGTCTGTGACTGTGTGTCTGTGACTGTGATGTCTGTGACTGGTGTCTGTGGACTAGTGTCTGTGACTGTGTGTCTGTGACTGGTGTCTGTGACTGTGTGTCTGTGACTGGTGTGTCTGTGACTGGTGTCTGTGACTGGTGTCTGTGACTGGTGTCTGTGACTGGTGTCTGAGACTGTGTCTGTGACTCGTGGTCTGTGACTGTGTGTCTGTGACTGTGTCTGTCTGTGACTGGTGTCTGTGACTGGTGTCTGTGACTGTGTGTCTGTGACTGTTAGTGTCTGTGACTGGTGTCTGTGACTGGTGTCTGAGACTGGTGTCTGGTGTCTGTGACTGTGTGTCTGTGACTGTGTCTGTGACTGGTGTCTGTGACTGGTGTCTGTGACTGGTGACTGGTGTCTGTGACTGGTGTCTGTGACTGGTGTCTGTGACTGGTGTCTGTGACTGGTGTCTGTGACTGGTGTCTGTGACTGGTGTCTGTGACTGGTGTCTGTGACTGGTGTCTGTGACTGGTGACTGGTGTCTGTGACTGGTGTCTGTGACTGGTGTCTGTGACTGGTGTCTGTGACTAGTGTCTGTGACTGGTGTCTGTGACTGGTGTCTGTGACTGGTGTCTGTGACTGGTGTGTCTGTGACTGTGTATGGTGTCTAGTGTCTGTGACTGTGTCTGTGACTGGTGTCTGTGACTGGAGTCTGTGACTGGTGGACTGGTGTCTGTGACTGTGTCTGTGACTGTGTCTGTGACTGTGTGTCTGTGACTGGTGTCTGTGCAGTGTAGTGTCTGTGAATGGGTGTCTGTGACTGGTGTCTGTGACTGGTGTCTGTCTGTGACTGTGTCTGTGACTATGTGACTGTGTGTCTGTGACTGGTGTCTGTGACTGGTGTCTGTGACTGGTGTCTGTGACTGGTGTCTGTGACTGGTGTCTGTGACTGTGTGTCTGTGACTGGTGTCTTGTGACTGGTGTCTGTGACTAGTGTCTGTGACTGGTGTCTGTGACTGTGTGTCTGTGACTGTGACTGAAGTGTCTGTGACTGGACACTGTGACTGGTGACTGTGTGTGACTAGTGTCTGTGACTTGGATGATACTGTGGGACTGAATGGTGTCTGCCCAAATACCGTCTGTGACTGTGTGTCTGTGACTAGTGTCTTTGACTGTGTGTATGTGACTAGTCTGTCTGTGACTGGTGTTTCTGTGGCCCCACCCCAAAATGTCTGTAACTGTAGTTGCTTGTGTCCTTCCTCCTGTCTGTGACTAGTGTCTGTGACTGGTGTCTGTGACTGGTGTCTGTGACTAGTGTCTGTGACTGGTGTCTGTGACTAGTGTCTGTGACTGGTAGTGTCTGTGACTAGTGTCTGTGACTAGTGTCTGTGACTAGTGTCTGTGACTGTGACTGTGTCTGTGACTAGTGTCTGTGACTAGTGTCTGTGACTGGTGACTGGTGTCTGTGACTGGTGTCTGTGACTGGTGTCTGTGACTGGTGACTGGTGTCTGTGACTAGTGTCTGTGACTGGTGTCTGTGACTGGTGTCTGTGACTGGTGTCTGTGACTGGTGTCTGTGACTGGTGTCTGTGACTGGTGTCTGTGACTGGTGTCTGTGACTAGTGTCTGTGACTGGTGTCTTTGACTGGTGTCTGTGACTGGTGTCTGTGACTGGTGACTGGTGTCTGTGACTAGTGTCTGTGACTGGTGTCTGTGATTGGTGTCTGTGACTGGTGTCTGTGACTGGTGACTGGTGTCTGTGACTGGTGTCTGTGACTGGTGTCTGTGATTGGTGTCTGTGACTGGTGTCTGTGACTGGTGTCTGTGACTGGTGTCTGTGACTAGTGTCTGTGACTGGTGTCTGTGACTGGTGTCTGTGACTGGTGTCTGTGACTGGTGTCTGTGACTGGTGTCTTTGACTGGTGTCTGTGACTGGTGTCTGTGACTGGTGACTGGTGTCTGTGACTAGTGTCTGTGACTGGTGTCTGTGACTAGTGTCTGTGACTGGTGTCTGTGACTGGTGTCTGTGACTGGTGTCTGTGACTGGTGACTGGTGTCTGTGACTAGTGTCTGTGACTGGTGTCTGTGACTGGTGACTGGTGTCTGTGACTAGTGTCTGTGACTGGTGTCTGTGACTAGTGTCTGTGACTGGTGTCTGTGACTAGTGTCTGTGACTGGTGTCTGTGACTGGTGTCTGTGACTGGTGTCTGTGACTAGTGTCTGTGACTGGTGTCTGTGACTTGTGTCTGTGACTGGTGTCTGTGACTAGTGTCTGTGACTGGTGTCTGTGACTAGTGTCTGTGACTGGTGTCTGTGACTGGTGTCTGTGACTAGTGTCTGTGACTAGTGTCTGTGACTGGTGTCTGTGACTGGTGTCTGTGACTGGTGTCTGTGACTGGTGACTGGTGTCTGTGACTAGTGTCTGTGACTAGTGTCTGTGACTGGTGTCTGTGACTGGTGTCTGTGACTGGTGTCTGTGACTAGTGTCTGTGACTAGTGTCTGTGACTGGTGTCTGTGACTGGTGTCTGTGACTGGTGTCTGTGACTGGTGTCTGTGACTGGTGTCTTTGACTGGTGACTGGTGTCTGTGACTGGTGACTGGTGTCTGTGACTAGTGTCTGTGACTGGTGTCTGTGATTGGTGTCTGTGACTGGTGTCTGTGACTGGTGACTGGTGTCTGTGACTGGTGTCTGTGACTGGTGTCTGTGATTGGTGTCTGTGACTGGTGTCTGTGACTGGTGTCTGTGACTGGTGTCTGTGACTAGTGTCTGTGACTGGTGTCTGTGACTGGTGTCTGTGACTAGTGTCTGTGACTGGTGTCTGTGACTGGTGTCTGTGACTAGTGTCTGTGACTAGTGTCTGTGACTGGTGTCTGTGACTGGTGTCTGTGACTGGTGTCTGACTGGTGACTGGTGTCTGTGACTAGTGTCTGTGACTAGTGTCTGTGACTGGTGTCTGTGACTGGTGTCTGTGACTGGTGTCTGTGACTGGTGACTGGTGTCTGTGACTAGTGTCTGTGACTAGTGTCTGTGACTGGTGTCTGTGACTGGTGTCTGTGACTAGTGTCTGTGACTAGTGTCTGTGACTGGTGTCTGTGACTGGTGTCTGTGACTGGTGTCTGTGACTGGTGACTGGTGTCTGTGACTAGTGTCTGTGACTAGTGTCTGTGACTGGTGTCTGTGACTGGTGTCTGTGACTGGTGTCTGTGACTAGTGTCTGTGACTGGTGTCTGTGACTGGTGTCTGTGACTGGTGTCTGTGACTGGTGTCTGTGACTGGTGTCTGTGACTGGTGTCTGTGACTGGTGTCTTTGACTGGTGTCTGTGACTGGTGTCTGTGACTGGTGACTGGTGTCTGTGACTAGTGTCTGTGACTGGTGTCTGTGATTGGTGTCTGTGACTGGTGTCTGTGACTGGTGACTGGTGTCTGTGACTGGTGTCTGTGACTGGTGTCTGTGATTGGTGTCTGTGACTGGTGTCTGTGACTGGTGTCTGTGACTGGTGTCTTTGACTGGTCTGTGACTGGTGTCTGTGACTGGTGACTGGTGTCTGTGACTAGTGTCTGTGACTGGTGTCTGTGACTAGTGTCTGTGACTAGTGTCTGTGACTGGTGTCTGTGACTGGTGTCTGTGACTGGTGACTGGTGTCTGTGACTAGTGTCTGTGACTGGTGTCTGTGACTGGTGACTGGTGTCTGTGACTAGTGTCTGTGACTGGTGTCTGTGACTGGTGTCTGTGACTGGTGTCTGTGACTAGTGTCTGTGACTGGTGTCTGTGACTGGTGTCTGTGACTGGTGTCTGTGACTAGTGTCTGTGACTGGTGTCTGTGACTAGTGTCTGTGACTGGTGTCTGTGACTAGTGTCTGTGACTGGTGTCTGTGACTAGTGTCTGTGACTGGTGTCTGTGACTGGTGTCTGTGACTGGTGTCTGTGACTAGTGTCTGTGACTGGTGTCTGTGACTGGTGTCTGTGACTGGTGGAAGTGTCTTGCCAAAGGACACAACCACAGCAGACGTCAGTGGGAGTAGGTCTCATGGGGGGATTGAACCCACAACCTTCAAGCCCAAATACCAACACTGTACCAACTGAGAAACAACCCAAAAATCTCAGAATGGGACGACTCTGTCAGGAAGAATGGGCCAAAATTCCTAACGATGTCTTGCTCTGTCCTTCCTCCTGGGTCTGTGACTAGTGTCTGTGACTGGTGTCTGTGACTGGTGTCTGTGACTGGTGTCTGTGACTGGTGTCTGTGACTGGTGTCTGTGACTGGTGTCTGTGACTAGTGTCTGTGACTAGTGTCTGTGACTAGTGTCTGTGACTGGTGTCTGTGACTAGTGTCTGTGACTAGTGTCTGTGACTGGTGACTGGTGTCTGTGACTGGTGTCTGTGACTGGTGACTGGTGTCTGTGACTAGTGTCTGTGACTAGTGTCTGTGACTGGTGTCTGTGACTAGTGTCTGTGACTGGTGTCTGTGACTAGTGTCTGTGACTGGTGTCTTTGACTGGTGTCTGTGACTGGTGTCTGTGACTGGTGTCTGTGACTGGTGTCTGTGACTGGTGTCTGTGACTGGTGTCTGTGACTAGTGTCTGTGACTGGTGTCTTTGACTGGTGTCTGTGACTGGTGTCTGTGACTGGTGACTGGTGTCTGTGACTAGTGTCTGTGACTGGTGTCTGTGATTGGTGTCTGTGACTGGTGTCTGTGACTGGTGACTGGTGTCTGTGACTGGTGTCTGTGACTGGTGTCTGTGACTGGTGTCTGTGACTGGTGTCTGTGACTGGTGTCTGTGACTGGTGTCTGTGACTGGTGTCTGTGACTGGTGTCTGTGACTGGTGTCTGTGACTGGTGTCTGTGACTGGTGTCTTTGACTGGTGTCTGTGACTGGTGTCTGTGACTGGTGACTGGTGTCTGTGACTAGTGTCTGTGACTGGTGTCTGTGACTAGTGTCTGTGACTGGTGTCTGTGACTGGTGTCTGTGACTGGTGTCTGTGACTGGTGTCTGTGACTGGTGACTGGTGTCTGTGACTAGTGTCTGTGACTGGTGTCTGTGACTAGTGTCTGTGACTGGTGTCTGTGACTAGTGTCTGTGACTGGTGTCTGTGACTGGTGTCTGTGACTGGTGTCTGTGACTAGTGTCTGTGACTGGTGTCTGTGACTAGTGTCTGTGACTGGTGTCTGTGACTAGTGTCTGTGACTGGTGTCTGTGACTGGTGACTGGTGTCTGTGACTGGTGACTGGTGTCTGTGACTAGTGTCTGTGACTGGTGTCTGTGACTAGTGTCTGTGACTGGTGTCTGTGACTGGTGTCTGTGACTGGTGTCTGTGACTAGTGTCTGTGACTGGTGTTTGTGACTAGTGTCTGTGACTGGTGTCTGTGACTAGTGTCTGTGACTGGTGTCTGTGACTAGTGTCTGTGACTGGTGTCTGTGACTGGTGTCTGTGACTAGTGTCTGTGACTGGTGTCTGTGACTAGTGTCTGTGACTGGTGTCTGTGACTAGTGTCTGTGACTGGTGTCTGTGACTGGTGTCTGTGACTAGTGTCTGTGACTGGTGTCTGTGACTGGTGTCTGTGACTGGTGGAAGTGTCTTGCCAAAGGACACAACCACAGCAGACGTCAGTGGGAGTAGGTCTCATGGGGGGATTGAACCCACAACCTTCAAGCCCAAATACCAACACTGTACCAACTGAGAAACAACCCAAAAATCTCAGAATGGGACGACTCTGTCAGGAAGAATGGGCCAAAATTCCTAACGATGTCTTGCTCTGTCCTTCCTCCTGGGTCTGTGACTAGTGTCTGTGACTAGTGTCTGTGGTCGTGTTTCAGACTTTAATAGTTTGAAAGTTGTGTTTTTTCAGATGAGGAAATAAAAATGTGATATTTATCTATAAACGTATTAAAACCAAGTCTGTTTTTAAATCCATCTGAGTTTATCTAATTTAACTTTTCCACAAAGGTTTCTGCCGCTTCCTGTTGCCTCAAAATCGTCTCTGGAGTCGAGCCTCGGGGAAAGATGCTCAGATTTACATAAAATTCAATATTTGACATCTTTCCCCAAACCTCACTTACAGTAAAATGGAATCGTTGCCGCGGCGACAAAAAAAACTCTGCAGTTTGAGGCTAAACTACAGAAGTCTTCATCTGAGGCCACAGCCTGTAATTCACCGGAAAGAAGGAGAAAGACAATGGGAGGTAATGGAGGAGGGGGGAGGAGGGGGAGGCCATTGTTCTGCCTGTGACGGTGCGCACTGTGGCTTTAAAGGATCCAGTTTCCATGACGACGAGTCTGAGTTTTACTGTTGGTTTTTTGCAGCAAAATCAGTGATCGAAAATATGTGCTTTATGTGTTTTTACACCTGTTTCTACACCTGTGTTTTTACACCTGTGATTTTACACCTGTGTTTTTACACCTGCTTTTTACACCTTTGTGTTTACACCTGTGATTTTACACCTGTGTTTTTACACCTGCTTTTTACACCTGTGTTTTTACACCTGTGTTTTTACACTTGCTTTTTACACCTGTTTTTTACACCTGTGTTTATACACCTGTGTTTTTACACTTGTTTTTACACCTGTGTATTAGTCCTGCGTTTTTACACCTGTGTTTTACACCTGTGTTTTACACCTGTGATTTTACACCTGTGTTTTTACACCTGTGTTTTTACACCTGCTTTTTACACCTTTGTGTTTACACCTGTGTTTTACATCTGTGTTTTACACCTGTGTTTCTACACCTGTGTTTTACACCTGTGTTTTACACATGTGTTTTTACATCTGTGTTTTTACACCTGTGTGTTTACACCTGTGTATTTTTACACCTGTGTTTTTACACCTGTGTATTTTTACACTTGTGTGTTTCACACCTGTGTTTTTACACCTGTGTTTTACACCTGTGTTTTTACACCTGTGTTTTTACACCTGCTTTTTACACCTTTGTGTTTACACCTGTGTTTTTACACCTGTGTTTTTACACCTGCTTTTTACACCAGTGTTTTTACACCTGTCTTTTATACCTTTGTTTTTACACCTGTGTTTATACACCTGTGTTTTTACACTTGTTTTTACACGTGTTTTACACCTTTGTTTTTACACCTGTTTTTACACCTGTGTATTAGACCTGCGTTTTTACACCTGTGTTTTACACCTGTGATTTTACACCTGTGATTTTACACCTGTGTTTTTACACCTGCTTTTTACACCTTTGTGTTTACACTTGTGTTTTACACCTGTGTTTCTACACCTGTGTTTTACACGTGTGTTTGTACACCTGTGTTTTTACACCTGTGTATTTTTACACCTGTGTTTTTACACCTGTGTGTTTACATTTGTGTATTTTTACACCTGTGTTTTTACACCTGTGTTTTACACCTGTGTTTTACACCTGTGTTTTTACACCTGTGTTTTTACACCTGTGTATTAGACCTGCGTTTTTACACCTGTGTATTACACGTGTGTTTTTACACCTGTGTTTTTACACCTGTGTTTTACACCTGTGTTTTTTACACCTGTGTTTTTTATACCTGTGTTTTACACCTTTTTTTTACAGCTGTTTTACACCTGTGTATTACACCTTTGTTTTTACACCTGTGTTTTACACCTGTGTATTATACCTGTGTTTTTACACCTGTGTTTTACACATGTGTTTTTACACGTGTGTTTTTACACCTGTGTGTTTACACCTGTGTGTTTACACCTGTGTATTTTACCTGTTTTTTATACCTGTGTATTACACCTTTGTTTTTACACCTGTGTTTTGCACCTGTGTTTTACACCTGCGTTTTACACTTGTGTTTTTACACCTGTGTTTTACACCTCTGTATTACACCTGTGTTTTACACCTGTGTTTTACACCTGTGTGATTACACCTGTGTGTTTTTACACCTGTGTGATTACACCTGTGTGTTTTTACACCTGTGTTTCACACCTGTGTGTTTACATCTGTGTATCTTTACACCTGTGTTTTTACACCTGTGTTTCACACCTGTGTTTTTACACCTGTGTTTTTACACCTGTGTTTTACACCTGTGTTTTTACACCTGTGTTTTTACACCTGTGTTTTTACACCTCTGTTTTTACACCTGTGTTTTACACCTGCTTTTTACACCTGTGTTTTTACACCTGTGTTTTACACCTGCGTTTTACACTTGTGTTTTTACACCTGTGTTTTACACCTCTGTATTACACCTGTCTTTTTACACCTGTGTTTTACACCATTGTTTTTACACCTGTGTTTTTACACCTGTGTATTAGACCTGCGTTTTTACACCTGTGTTTTACACCTGTGTATTACACCGGTCTTTTTACACCTGTGTTTTACACCTGTGTTTTTTACACCTGTGTTTTTTACACCTGTTTTTTATACTTGTGTTTATACACCTTTGTTTTTACACGTGTGTTTTACACGTGTGTTTTTACACCTGTGTTTTTACACCTGTGTTTTTACACCTGTGTGTTTACACCTGTGTTTTATACCTGTGTTTAACACCTTTGTTTTTACACACCTGTGTTTTGCACCTGCGTATTACACCTGTGTTTTACACCTGTGTTTTACACCTGTGTTTTACACTTGTGTTTTTACACCTGTGTTTATACACCTGTTTTTTGCACCTGTGTATTACACCTGTGTTTTTACACCTGTGTTTTACACTTGTGTTTTTACACCTGTGTTTTACACCTGTGTATTACACCTGTGATTTTACACCTGTTTTTTATACCTTTGTTTTTACACCTGTGTTTATACACCTGTGTTTATACACCTGTGTTTTTACACTTGTTTTTACACCTGTGTTTATACACCTGTGTTTATACACCTGTGTTTTTACACTTGTTTTTACACCTGTTTTTTACACCTGTGTATTAGACCTGCGTTTTTACACCTGTGATTTTACACCTGTGTTTTTACACCTGCTTTTTACACCTTTGTGTTTACACCTGTGTTTTACATCTGTGTTTTACACCTGTGTTTCTACACCTGTGTTTTTACACCTGTGCTTTTACATCTGTTTTTACACCTGTGTGTTTACACCTGTGTATTTTTACACCTGTGTTTTTTACACCTGTGTATTTTTACACCTGTGTGTTTCACACCTGTGTGTTTCACACCTGTGTTTTACACGTGTTTTTACACCTGTGTTTTTACATCTGTGTTTTTACACCTGTGTTTACACCTGTGTATTTTTACACCTGTGTTTTTTACACCTGTGTATTTTTACACCTGTGTGTTTCACACCTGTGTTTTTACACCTGTGTTTTACACATGTGTTTTACACCTGTGTTTTTACACCTGTGATTTTACACCTGTGTATTTTTACACTTGTGTGTTTCACACCTGTGTTTTTACACCTGTGTTTTACACCTGTGATTTTACACCTGTGTATTTTTACACCTGTGTGTTTCACACCTGTGTTTCACACCTGTGTTTTACACGTGTTTTTACACCTGTGTTTTTACATCTGTGTTTTTACACCTGTGTGTTTACACCTGTGTTTTTATACACCTGTGTTTTGCACCTGTGTTTTGCACCTGTGTATTACACCTGTGTTTTACACCTGTGTTTTACACTTGTGTTTTTACACCTGTGTTTATACACCTGTGTTTTGCACCTGTGTATTACACCTGTGTTTTTACACCTGTGTTTTACACCTGTGTATTACACCTGTGTTTTACACCTGTGTATTACACCTGTGTTTTACACCTGTGTTTATACACCTGTGTTTTGCACCTGTGTATTACACCTGTGTTTTACACCTGTGTATTACACCTGTGTTTTACACCTGTGTTTTACACTTTTGTTTTTACACCTGTGTTTTACACCTGTGTGTTTTTACACCTGTGTTTCTCCTCAGTCCTCCTCAGACCTCCTCGGACCTCCTCAGTCCTCCTCAGACCTCCTCAGTCCTCCTCAGACCTCCTCAGACCTCCTCAGTCCTCCTCAGACCTCCTCAGACCTCCTCAGTCCTCCTCAGACCTCCTCAGACCTCCTCAGACCTCCTCAGACCTCCTCAGTCCTCCTCAGACCTCCTCAGTCCTCCTCAGACCTCCTCAGACCTCCTCAGTCCTCCTCAGACCTCCTCAGACCTCCTCAGACCTCCTCAGTCCTCCTCAGACCTCCTCAGTCCTCCTCAGACCTCCTCAGACCTCCTCAGACCTCCTCAGACCTCCTCAGTCCTCCTCAGACCTCCTCAGTCCTCCTCAGACCTCCTCAGACCTCCTCGGACCTCCTCAGACCTCCTCAGTCCTCAGTGTTTTGATGTCAGACCTCACTTGTATTTAATCAGGTGGTATTAAAGCTGGGGGATGTAACTTTCATAGTTTTCTGGTGTTTTTTCAGACAGAAAAGTGTTAAAGACTTTGAACCAAAGTCTCAGATTTGACTAAAGTTCATAGTCTCCTGTTTAAACATGTTTTAGACATGCAGAAGTTAGAGACCCGAGCTTTAATAGTGTGTAAATGTGGAGAAAGAAGCTTCAGACATTTTAGACTTTAAACTGACTTTAAACAGAAAAGTTAGAGTTTGGAGGTTTTAAAGTCAAGTGAACATTCACAAGTCACTAACTGATGCTGCTGCAGATCAACTCTGGAATCGGGGAGAGAGAGGGGGAGAGAGAGAGGGGGAGAGAGAGGGGGAGAGTTCTCTCAGTCGTTGATGACAATAGACATTCAATGGCTGATAATTATGCCACTTTAACGCACAATTTCCCCTGCTCTGTGTCATTTGCATAGAGGAGACGCACACACACACACACAGACACACTTGCTGGACTGTTTCCGAATAAAACATGTAACTATTGTTTTTGTATCTGTTCATTAGACCTGATGGATCCAGGAGCCGGGGCCCAGGAGCCGGGGCCCGGGAGCCGGGGCCCTTGATCGCCCGCTCTGTCCACGGTGAGACTCTCTCCTTTTTATAGTTTCTGCTCAAACCAGCACTGCTTCCACCAGAGCAGGTCCCACACTGCCACCTACTGGACACGTGTGTGTGTCAATGACATTAAAGCTGGTCTCCCTAACTTTAAAAACATAAACATTTTCTGTGTAATAATAATGTTTCTTCAGAACAGTTGTTTTTTCTCTGTCACTTCAGTTATTTTCAGACAGAAACATGAAAAGAGAGGACCCCCGTGTCTCGGCCAATCAGCTGTCTGGGATCTGTGTTTCCAGCGAGGTCAGATTCATTCACATTTGTCTTTTGGGCCAAAGTCTTAAATATGAAGTTAGGGACCTGAGCTTTAATAATCCGCTGTTGGTGCGATCTCTGTGACGAGGACTTGGACGAT